AATTTAACTAATTTTTTTTTTTTTCAAAATTGGTTAATGTCTTATCAGGTAAAAAGAACAATTGTGCAAAAATTCAACTTCATCCGAGAATAGGAAATGGGAGAAAACTATGTTTAAACTTTTTACCAAACAGACAGAGTGAGTTGGTTTAAGCTTTGTAAAAAATGGACAGACCTGTCACTAAATGAAACTCTATACAATGCAAAAAATCGGAGAGGGTTGGATACAGATGGTCAACAGATCTTGTGTCTTGCCCTAGACTAGGGGATACGTGAAGGTGAATGGAGGCTATAAGAGAGTTGGGTGTCGTAAAACTTTTATTGCTCTTGAGAAGAAAACTCTACGTGATATGTCAACTTTAGCGTCCCCTAAGTACCTACAATGCTTGGTCCAGGTTAATCGTTAAAAAGTTCACATGACTAGATATTGTTCTTTTAGGAGATTTTTTTTTGTGTCAAACAATAAGTGTTATTATTTTAATACCATTTTCACGTGAATAGACTTAACATGAAGCCCGCAAGAGAGGATCCCTCGCTTTTAGTGACCTACAGATTAGTATGCAAGACATGCTCCAATTAGATTCCCGTTTCTGTAATTCGTTTAATTCTCTTTGTAAAATGTCTGTGTCCTGTGTTGCACTTGGCAGAATTTAAGTCATTGGTTAACATGCTTGACTAGATTGACCTATGACGTAATGATCATGTTTTTTTTTTTTTTTGTTTTTTTTGGAAGTAAAATGTTTGTTTAATGTTTTACATGTTTCGGATGTTCCTTCAGAGTTAAAGATAGTTTACTTCCTAGTCCAAACCTCCCGCAGGACGACGGGGGATGGGAGCGGGCAGGGTTTGAACCCTCGACCGTCGATAAATCCAAACGACATTCCAGCGCGCAAACCGCACGACCAGGCAGCCATCGTAACGTAAAGTCTGTATTATATAAGTTATATAAGATAAGGAACACGTGTAGTACATAGTCATCTTTTTTTTTAAAGTAACGTTTCTTACCTCTGTATTTTATAAGATAAGCATGTTATATAATCTTATAGATTACAGATGTTTCGCATTTCATGGGTCAATCTAGTCATGCAAGTTAATCAGCGACTTAAACTCTGCTAAGTCATTAGTTTTCCTGGCTGATTCAGGCAGCCCATTCCATTCTCTAGTGGCACTATAGGGAAGAAGGAGCACTTGCACGAATTAGTCCTAACATGTGGAATAAGAAATGTGCCTCTATCTTTTTTGTCTTTTTTGAGTATTTTATTAGGTTGACATAAGGGCTTATGTTCAGTTCTACTATAAGCCATGGATGTCAAGAACTATGTTACAAATAAATTAAATGAGTACTTAAAATAAGATTTGTTTTTTTTTTTTGTTTTTTTAAGGAGATGGCATTTTTGTTTCGCATGAGACGTCGTCTGATTCTTTTGACCCTCATTCAACTCATGACTATTCTCCTGGTCGTTCATGTTTACACGTTTGGAAAATACAAGGAAGAGTCAAAGGGAGAGTACAAAGAAACACCCAAACAGAAGTCCAAAGAAATGGTATATTTTTCTAAAGATGACCCACGATTACTTCTGCTTGAATTGATGGAAGACCAGGGACACCAGCTGGACTTTATAGAGAAGCACAACGCTGATATTCAAGAAGTTTTCCACCAAATGGACGTCGTTACAAAGGAAAATAAGAAGGCGCTTCTTTCATTTCTGTCTCTGCCGGTCATTAATGACCACAGTTTCACCTACATCCACAACCCAGACAGAGCCTGCGTCAACTCCAACACTGATGTTCTAATCATGGTCCCTACCTCGCCTGGGAATTTTCAGAACCGGAAAAACATGCGCAACGGGGATTACAGCAACTTCACGGGAAACGTTGAGAACAGGGCCCAGATCATGTTTTTCATCGGGCTGACGAAATCGAACGAAACTCAAATGAGAATCGACGAGGAATCGGAGACGTATGAGGACATCGTGCAAGAGTCTTTCGAAGACGTTTACCGAAATATTCGATACAAGTCGGTATCGATGCTGAGATGGGTCAGCACCTACTGCCGTGAGGCGAGATTCGTCATTCGAAACGATGACGACATTTCTGTGAATCTAAGTCTTGTACTCGATACCGTTAAACGAACACGAGAAAAATATGCAAATTTCATTCTAGGCCGCGTGCGTATGAACGACATGCCGGCGAGAAATATGAAAGACAAAAACGGGCTGTCAAGACAAGAATACGCCCCGAATGTGTTCCCCCCTTTTGCCCTGGGCGGCCTCCTTGGCTTGACGACCTTGACAACGGAGCTTCTTTACCAGGCCGCGCTTAGAGTGAGCCCCATCTGGCTGGATGACGTCTACATCACTGGCATCTGCGCACCGCACGTGGGAGTTAAGCTTATTAACGATAGCTCTTTTGCGTTCAAACACAAAGGAAAATGGGCGCACTGATGATATGTAAGAATTATCCTAATCGTTTCGCGATCTCGTGTGGGAAAAAAAAATCTTGGGTCACGTAAGCCTTTACACTTACCCAGACACTAGAGTACTATCCTTGGGGATAACAATCCAAAAATCCAGTGCTTGAGATGCGCACTAGCGCACTGTTGAACGTAAACAGGAAGACACTAGAATAGAGAGAAGAACAGTGCATCTGGGATTGTGAAGAGTATGAATGTTTGGGAAACTAAGAGGCCAACTTTTGTGCTGCCTGAAAGTTGTAATAGGGACCTGAAGCGAAGCGGGGAAGGCTGTCGTTGGTCCACATTCGGGTTAAGTAGCAAAGGACTGGTATACTTAGTAGTAAGACTCTAAGGAAGCTGAAGGATGTTATGTGTTTACACTAGTGAATAAACACAACTATTTATTTCCTGTTGAACTGTGTTGAGTTGCCTGCCTTTTCGTTGAGTGCCTACCCTAGAGTTGCAACAATATATATATATGAGCACACTTGGATGGAAGACCAACTGGAACCTAATAACTCTGCGTCCCAACATACAAAGCATGGATGGATTTATGGACAAATACATCAAAATAATGTCAAAATATCTAACCCCAAATCTCTGTATTTCAATATTGATATTTTAGGAACAGAATAAATTAACGTTGAGACTTTAAAATTTGCATTCAAATGTGGATGAACAAGAAAGACTGAGGTTGTTTTTTTTTATTTATATTAATTCACTATTATGATCAGTTTTATGTGCCATGTATAAAACAAAACAAAACAAAAAATGACAATGCGACGTTCGTCTATCATGAATATTTCTATTGCCAACTTACAGAATTGTAACGAATTCTACTTCGGAATTTCTTTCCAAAGCCTTTTTCTAGATGTGTTTTTAATTTACTTTAAAATTATATTAACCATCGTGCCAAACTGTAGAAACAATAATTAACTATGCAAGCTTTGTTGTTATTCTAAATAGTATTTATATATATATATATAATCTTGTTAACCCGAGGTATAGCCCTTCCCCGAAACTCAAAGGACCACCTTACCTGTCATTTTATTAGAATATATTTTTATTGTTAGGTAACAAATCTTGAGACTCCCCCCAATCTCACTTTCTTGTGATAAACTGTATACCCCTAACCTTTTCCCCAAACACACACTGCATCATCCTCATCATCATCCACATCATCATCATCATCATCATCATCATCCTCATCCTCATCATCACCATCCTCCTCCTCATCATCACTATCCTCATCATCACTATCCTCATCATCACTATCCTCATCATCATCATCATCACCATCGTTATCCTCCTCCTCCTCATCATCATCATCACCATCCTCCTCCTCATCATCATCACCATCCTCCTCATCATCATCATCCTCATCCTCATTATCCCCATCCTCCTCCTCCTCACCATCCTCCTCATCATCATCATCCTCATACTCATTATCCCCATCCTCCTCCTCCTCATCATCACCATCCTCCTTATCATCATCATTATCCTCATCATCATCATCACCATCATCCTCTTCATCCTCCTCCTCCTCCTCATCATCATCACCATCCTCCACATCATCATCATCCTCATCCTCATTATCCCCATCCTCCTCCTCATCATCATCACCACCCTCCTCCTCATCATCACTATCCTCATCATCATCATCACCATCCTTCTCCTCATCCTCCTCCTCCTCATCACCATCCTCCTCCTCCTCATCATCACCATCCTCCTCATCATCATCATCCTCATCCTCATTATCCCCATCCTCCTCCTCATCATCATCACCATCTTCCTTATCATCATCATTATCCTCATCATCATCATCACCATCATCCTCCTCCTCCTCCTCCTTATCATCAACCTCATCAGCATCCTCATCATCATTATCATCCTCACCTTTATCATCATCTTCATCATCATCATCATCATCCTCATCCTCATCATCATCTGTCGTAGGGGTGCTGTGACAGTTCGGATAACCGAGTCCCTCCTTTTGTCCCGGTCAGCAGACAGTGGTCAGTCTATTCTTTGTATTGTCACTAGTCCGATGGTCGCTACGTGCTATCTGAACGTTTCCGTGGGTCTATTGAACATTGTGTCCTGAATGGAAGGAGTACATTGTAGTACGCAGAAGTAGTGACTAGTACAGGGCCGGTCCTACAGATTGCGGGGCCCTATGCGAAACGGATTGCGCGGGGCCCATTCTGGGTTGTGATAAGGATAATAAGTGAAACCTAAGTTTTTGTATTAAAAAAATACATTCGTCTTTACTAAGCACAAAATCACTGTCAAATTAACTTTACGAGCCATCTACAGTAGGTAAAGGGTTTTCCAACAAAAAGCCGATAAAAATGTAGATCTGTCTTTTAGATTTACTATCGACTAGCGAAATATCGCTTTTGTCTTTTTTTGAAAAGGTCGAGATTGATTTAGATCTATATTTCTATGCCAGGAACGATAAAAGTCAATTAAGTATTTGAACTTCTTGTTTTGGTTAAAATTCACCTTATTATTATATTTTTATTAAATGAAAGCTGACAATGCTGTTTTTTTTTTTTTTTATCTCGAGTAGGATTGGCGTTGTCCATATTTAATGACACCCCGAAATTACAATTTTGTCTGTTTTTAAGGAGATTTGCATCAGTTATCAGAATATTTTAATAACTTCGGAAGATTTTCGCGATTTTTTTTCGTATATTTTACAATTCAGGAGAATTCCAGAAACCCTTTAATAATAAGTTAAAATGGTTTATTTTAATTATTTACACCTATTCGCGCGGGGCCTATGAAAGTGCAGGGCCCACTGCGGCCGCATAGGTTGCAGTGGCCTAAGACCGGCCCTGGACTAGTACTCTATGTTTGCAATACACTTCATGTCACGTGGAATACTGCACTCCACATTAATCATTGGACTCGAAGACTAGACTTATTATTATTATTATAATTATTTATGTTAGAAAAGAAGGAGTATTTATTCTCTGGCGAAGCCAGGGCCGAGTTTCGTTAAAGGGAAACCATATTCATCGTAGTCCCTTTATCGGTTTGCACTTAGGAATTTTCTGGTGATGTGGCAGGTTTGCAGCAGTACCGCCCTCTGACAGGCAACGAGAATGTTCCTATTATTATTATTATTATTATAACTATGCAGGACCGGCCTAACGAATTGCGGGGGACCAATTTAATTGATGTTTGCGAGGACTCTCTTTCATTTATTTTTTTACAATTACTTTTACTATTTATTAGATCACTATATAAACATGTATTATACATCATGCATAGGAAGCATCTCAATCTGAATAGGCACCAGTGGGTTAATTAAAGCTACGTCAGTCGTACGATACACTACATATGTTAACCCTTTAAGTCCTACATCTTTAAAAGCATGTGACAAGAGCCATGACATAGTGAAATACTAAGTTAAAAATTCCCGGCCCACTGACAGGCGCGGGCCCAATTTTGACAGTCAGATCGGCCTAAGGCTTGCTCTCTTATTGTGTAATAACTACGCACTTGTTTAGTAGTAATAATTAGTGTTAATATTGTATTTGATGTATATAAGATGTTTTTTAAAGCTGTATTCATTAAATGCAACATGTTTTATATTATATTGTCTTTGCTGTATGTTCCATATCTGTATATTACATATGTATTATGAAAGTCATGCTGACGTTGCAAAGTTTATGTAGATGTATTTATAGTGAAGTCAATGTATGTTACATGCGCTGAGAACGAACCTTGTAGATGGTGTATACGTTATAATATGTGTTTATTATGAGAGATTGAGCATTACATGAATATAAAATAGGCAATTATTAAATAAATATTGTTTTTCTTTTCAAATCGTATTGAAGATTGCAATATTTGTACAAACTTGTATTAACACTGTCTGTCTGTCTGTCTGTATGTCTGTCTGTCTTTTACATTTTTTTTACATGAGATTACTCTCATCCTAATTCTCGGATTAAGTTAAAACTTAACACAGTTATTTATTGCACCTTACAAGTTACAAAGCAGTCTTTAAAAGGTCGTCGTCTTAGTCTTTGTGAATGCAAATCTGAAAAATAGGACGAGGCTATAGAAAGAATAGATTACTGTAATATCTTAAATGTCATCTTTTACCTTATATGTTACAGACGTTACTTCAAAAAAAAAAGAAAGAAGATAGTTACGTTCTTTTCATTTCATGTGTCAATGTAGTCATGCATGTTAATCAATGACTTAAACTCTGCTAAGTCGTTGGATTTTCTGGCTGATTCAGGCAACCCATTTCGCTCTCAAATGGCACTAGGGAAGAAGAAGAACTTGTTCTAAGTTATGGAATACATGTGCCTCTATTCTTGTGTCCTTCTGAGTATTTCATTAGGTTTTGTTTTTCTATTTGTAAATTATGGTTTAGTGTTTTATGTATTATAGCTACTTTTTTTTATTCTTCTGCCCTGAAGTGTCTCTTTGTTTAGTGATTTTACTAATCAAAGTGGAATATTCGTTTGTTATAAATCTCACGGCTCTATTTTGTATTTGTTCTAGTTTCTATATGTTTTCTTGAAGTTGAGGGATCCTAAGCAGAGGATGCTTATTCTAATATTGCCTGTACTAAAGTTAACTTTCATAATTTTATAAGCTCTCCTCTAGTATAGTGGTTACTGCGTTGGCCTGAGAAAGCTTAAGCCATGAGTTTGAAATCAGGTTGTTCCACCTTTTTTATTTTTATAACTGCTTTTTTATTATTTCTTTAGATCTATTACAAATTTTATTACATGACTGATCCAAACTAATCAGTAAAAGTATGCTTAATACAAGTTTTTTAAAAATTATTTCGTTTGTTTGTGTTTGTAACTATTGAAGGCCTTGTGGCCCAAACGTCTTTTGTTCTTACTTTGGCGCATCAAGTTTTTCGAAAGATATTTTTATTCTATTTTCTATACAGTTATTTTTCAGCCATTAAGTTTCCTTTTTATTCTAGACGTTTCTGAATGTAGATGAAGGGATCTTGGGGTTGCCCATAAGCCTTGACCCCTATCTCAACTCCTTGGGCAGTTATTGCACGAGTTGTCGAAATAAATAATACTAGTCGACCCGCGGCGTAGCATACCCGCTATTTGCCGGAAGTATTCACGTATTGTCGAATGTATGACTATGCTTTTGTTAGTAAGAACAACGCCATAGTTATTCCAATGTTCGCAAACAAAGCTTACAGCCATCTTGCGAAGCTCGAGCGCAACAGTTTCGTCAATGGCATTTCTAGAAGTGGGAAGCGTGGCTTGGCTTGGCTACCTAGAAGGGGGTTCGAGGTTCGACACCCAAATTGGGCAGAGTTACGTTTACTGAGCGCCTAACGGCAGCACGGAAAACCAACTCCTAGATACCTCCCCTTCCCCCACTGGTTCACAAATGACGAGACCAAAGCGCTGTGATCATGCTATAAGCATGAAAGTAGCGCTATATAAAAGCTATAAATAATAAATATGCGACTGATAGAAATAAACAGTAACCTGATACAGGGATTTCGACCACATTGAAAGACCTGTTGACTCCACGAAATATATATGAAGCGGTGGCCATGGCAGGCGAAAGAAAGGTAAAATACGAACGGGCAAAATTAAAACAAGGCTACAGAAAAAGACATGCAACTCTTTTAATGACACAAGATATTGACGTGTGTAAAAAATTACACACATAAATGTAGTCAAATATAGAATGTATAAAGAGAAAGAGTACTTGATCTTCCCTCCTCTCTTTTTGTTTGTTTGAGCCGTTCTCTCTGTCGGTTCGAACGTTACGTGGGGAAACTCTAGTCCGACTTGCAGAAATAAAAGAGTTATTTTTCCATGACTTTTTCGTGGTGTCCCACATGGTTGGGCCACGAAGAGAATTATATAGGGAGATTGTTGATAGTCAGAACGCCAAATAGCTACACTCGTGATTTTTTTTGTATTGAGGCTGTATTCTGGAGCTTTAGCACTGTTTGATACCAGAGAATCAATCTTTTTCTTCTTCTTATAAATTACAGACTTTTCTTCAAAACAGAAAAACTGACTTATTAAGCTGAAGATATCTTAGTTTAGGATGCACCAGGTATCTACCTTGATCATCATTTGACCTGCTAGTACTGGTTATTCTCAGGGATTACTATCCTATCCCCACGAGCATGCCAAACGACGGACATAATTATCAAAAAACTAGATTCGCATGACGTTCAAACAATGAGAGCTTGTCGACCGCAACATTTAGTGAATGAAAGTTTCATACTTTGTGGAGACCTCACGCCACAGACATTCTCCTCCATCTTCCGCGAGACACCGTTCTTGCTGACGCAAAAAAAAAAAGGTCTAAAATATCCTATCGATTTTCAATATCTTATCTAGTTTACGAGATTTAAACGGGACGGACGGACGAACAGACAGACCACACAAAACTAATAGCGTGACGGTATGGGAAGATGTTAGTGATTGGTTGAGAATGGTGCAACTTAGGTGGCATTGGCGTCACTTGGTCTTAGTTAGGACAGATGACACCAGAACTTTTTGACTAAAAGGTTGTGCTTTGTAGCTAGTTAGATTTTGTTAAAAAATATTATTACTAAAGTCAAAAGTTTTATTTTCCAATTATTTCAACTAAGATATATTACGCCTACAACAGTTTAGCTGTTTACCAGCAGTTTGGTGCTACAAGACAACTACCGGTAACAACAAAAGGTTATGTAACTAACAACGAGAAACATAACCATAGTCACGCTAAAAAAATGATCCACATAGTGTCATATGTAGGTCAAGATGATTGTAAGTACTTCTTAACTAGAGTTTTAGAGTTATTAAAACGGTCAACTACTCCGTGGAAAAAAAAACGTTTTATTGCTATTTTGTTTGTTTGGACATGATCTTTCTTCATTTTCAATACTATATTTCCATATATGTGTGTAAATGAATCCAGACAGAAGGAGTGTGTGGGGACAGGTTACGTATGATTTGCTTGTCTTGGTTAACTATCAATGGGGCTCCAGGTTCGACACCCGACTCTAGCAGAGTTATGTTTACTAAGCTCCCAAAGGAAGCAAGGAAAACCTCCCAGATACCCCTTTACCCCACTGGTCCACAAATGAGCTTGGACCATAGCGCTCTGAGCATGGTGTAAGCATGAACTTTGTGCTATATAAAAGCTATTTTTAAAAAATGACAAACATGCTTGTTTTTTTTTCATATATATATTTATTCCATGCTTAGCTTATCAGGTAGGTCGGATGTTCTTGCTTGGCCCACTAATCTTTCATATGTAAAATAAATCACCGGCAAGGGAAAACAGTATTCCACTTACGAATAACTGATACACACACACAGAAACACATCCGTTGTAGACCCGCCTCGCCTTTATAATGGCGTGATTCTTTAGTGTATCCTTTGTATTCAACTATGCGTGAAGTGTCAATAGACTATGTGTATCGTTCGAATAGAACTACGCTGTGAATAGCTATCTCTTGCTTGTGTGGCCCACTCTCATTATTGTGGATTTTAACAGCGCGTAAATTGGAAAAAAGTCACGTGGTCAAACTTACAGCGGAGCGCTACTGTTAACATGTTTCATCCCAAACAACTTACAAAGGTTATTTTTATGTCTTTTCATGTTATTTAAATTTTTTTTATAACTCTTTTGCAAGGAGATCTCAGCTAGTAACGGTATTCACGATCATGTCAAGGACGCTAAATTAAACTTCAAAACTGCCAACAACAGAACTATATATATTATATCTAATCTGGACTACAGACCTATATATTATATAT